GGAGGAGGTCAGACAATCTCAGGTAGCCAGTACAGTTCAACTGAAGCATAGATTCGCATTCAGGAGAATATTATGAACTAAGGCTGGCACGGTAAATTGGAACCAGATCATGCAAGACCTCAAATGCCAGGCCAAGTGTTTTATTGAAGAGGCATGATGGAGGCTTTTGAGTAGAGAAGTGACATGATCAGACCATATGTGAGGAAGATAATTTTGTCTAAATTGTGAAGGATGGATTAGGAAGGCTATATATGAAAGTCAAGGAGACCTCGTGGGAGGGTATTCTAATACTCCCAACCAGTGATAATGAGCTTGGAACCAGGGTGGAGAGGAGGGAGAATACACGTGACAGATATTATAATGATAGAAATGACAGGTTTGGGCAACTGAGGGAGTTGACAGGTAAGTCAGGGAGGCATGAACTGAAAGATGGCTGTGTGCCGAGGAGACGGGAAAAACTGTGATGTCATTAGCAGAAATTTGAAAAGCAGGGCAGGTTTAGGCAGAGGGTGGGCAGGGTTGGGATGAAGGGAAATGCTCAGTTAGGATTTTTACATGTTGAGTTGCTAGTTGTACATCTAGGTGGGGATGTCCACCAGGCAGCTGGGGTTCGGGTTAGTGGAGAATCTGACTCTTTGGCTCAAGGAATATTCCCCTGGCACAAGTAGACGCATGGTCCAAGAACAGTTCATGTGAAAGAGATCTTGGAATTATAGTGGACTGTGAGCTGTATATGACTCAGTGATTCAGTATGGAAGCCATATAAGCTAATGTCACCTGCGGCTGCATAGAGAGAATAAGACTCAGGACAAGGAAAGAGAGGGGCACCTTTTGTGTGACCCTTACCAGCCTGCTTCTGCACTATCAGGCGCCGTATTTCAGCAAAGATACTGACGATTTGGAGAATGCCCTGAGAAAGGAGCCAGCAAGCATGGCAAAAGGGACTGGAGACCATGGAGCTGTGGGGAGATCAGCAATGCCTGAGAACTGAGATTTGCTAGATTCAGGCCTGTCTCAGCTTCCCAGCAGCCTCGTGGGCAGGTCTTGCCAGTATTATTAATCCCCAATTTATAGATGAGAAAACAGAAGCCCAGAGAAGGTGGGTGATTTGTTCAAGGCCTCCCGACTAGCAAGGGTCTAGGCTGGGGAGTCTTCCTGCCTCCATGTTTGGTACTGTAACCACTGAACCACATGGTCCAAAGTGACTTGAAGGTCATTTTTTGATGTGGATAAGCGAAAACTCAGAGGACAGACATGATAGCTGGTCTTCCAGTATTTGAAAGGCTGTGGGGTGTGTGTGTGCGTGTGTGTGTGTGTGTGTAGAAAGATTAGATTTGTTCTGTTGCTTAGCCCCGGGGGAACACTGAATTTGCAGAATTTGGTTCAAAGTAAAAACTTCCTAAAAGTTAGAACCATCCGAGCCTGGGAATGTGCTGCTTTGGGAGGTAGCAAGTGCCCCATCCTGGGGGCTGTCATGGGCTCAGGATGCCCATCTGATTGGCTTCCCATTCCTTTCAACACTGAGGGCACTGGGATGTGGCAGTACCAGATAATTTAGCCCTTGGTTGATATCTTCATTTTTTCCTAAGTGTGTGTGAATCTTGTCTCCCCGGAGGGACTAGAAGCTCCCTGTGGGCAGAGGCCGGGTCTCCTCCTTTCTCTCTCTTTCTCCCCGGGACAGCAAATAGAGCTGAGCCCTGGGGCTGATTCATACACTTTATTAGCTCAGGTCTTGTCAGATTTTTGAAGCCTGTGTCCTGGATCTGATCTTGAGACTAGCTGTGTGACTACAAGCAAGTCCTTTGTCTTCTCTCCAACTTGATTCCTTGTGTGAAAAACTGGGAGAAAAATACAGGCCCTCTCTCTGCAGGTCCTTGTGAAAAGTGTGCTTGGGAACTGTAGAGGGGGAGTGATGTGGGGTGTTTCTAACATGTAGAGAGCGGCTTGTGGTTTGCAAAGGGCTTTACAGATGGTATTTCATTTGATTCATGAGGGCTTGTGATATTATCATCAGCAGCAGCAGCCTCACTACTCTTCCCTGCTGCCACTCAGGCTCACCTGGCAGCTATGGGGTCTGGGGACCCGAGCACTTAAGCTTTGCCTTTCCTGGCATGATACAGGCCTGACAGCAACTCTCGGACCTTGGTGCTCTCCAGTGTCATAATTGCTGGGTGGTTGGAGGGAGGGGAGGAGGTCAAGGAAAGGAGCAGAAAAGCTGACAGGCATCTCTCTGCTTCCCGGAATGGCAGGCTCCACCCCAAGAGTTTATTTGCCTCTTTGGGGCCTTTGATGCCCTAACCAGAGCCAGCCAAGGGGCCCCCAGGGCGGGGGTGGCAAGAGAAGGAGAATGGCTCAGGAGGGCAGAGGGTTAGGGGCAGGTCACTGCCTCCCTGCCAATGGGCAGGGCCAGTGAGTTCCACGCAGAACATGCAAAACAGCTGCCCCTATGCCCCTGCCCCAGGGAGCCCGGGGGGAGAAGTGCAGCAGCTCAGATGTCATGGATCAGAGGTGGCCTCTCCCTGACCCTGCTCCCTGTCCCAAAGAAAGAAGGCACTCTTTGTACCTGGCAGGTGGGGAGGAAGAAAAGAGGGAGGGAGGCAGAGAAGAGAGAAAGAGGAAAGAATTGCTGATTTGGAAGGTACTTTTGAGGCCTTCTCCTCCTCCAATCACCAGATGAAGAG